TATATTAAATTAAAATATATATCAATCAATCTTCTTTTCTAATATTATATATAAGCTAACATTCTTATGATTTCTTTTCCGTTGTACTTTAGTTTCTTGTTAATAATTTATCCAAAAGTAAAGGTTAATGATAATATAGAAATCTTATAATAATTTACATAAAAATAAATAAGTACGGTTTTGTTTAGGATGATGGTTGTGGTGCCTTAATTTAATTACTACTCATCCTGTCCCATTATATTTATTTTATTGTGTACGGGAATTAAAAAGAAGGAATTATTGTTGATCAGTAATCAATACTTTTATTACTTGAACCGTTAATTACTGTTTCCTCAAAAATCCTCAACCGGCCTTTATCACGTGAGTTGGATGTTAGGCGTGCCACTTGCTTTGTCTAAAAACAAGAAAATAGGATTTTCCAGACGACCGTTCTCCTTTCCAACGGTCGACCTCCAATAGGATGGCTAGAAAGAACGTCTGTGAAATGAATTGCGCCCCAGACGATGTTGCAAAACAGATGGTGGAGCTTTGCAAAATGGGTTACTAATTGCCTTGGAAACCTCCAAGGACTTCACAACCAAACAAGTGTAATAAAAGCTACAAATCCTAAAATAAATACAATATCCTAAAGGAAATTAAACTAACATGAAGTAAATAGCAGAAAATAACATGCCATAAAGATTAAATTCGCAGACAACAGAAAAAGTAAAATAACAGACAATGATTTCAACTACACAGCCCATAATGATAACTAGAACTGAAGAAGAAACTATGAAATGATAAAGTTTGGAAACTTATAAATCTAAATCTGGAAATTGGAATTAAACAAACTGCATGTCTGGATATTGTGCAGAAACAAAAGAACAAAGGTAGAAGATGTTCAACATATTTACATGAATGAATAACATAACTAAATCCATAAAAGGAAGAAGAACTAACCGAATCAAAAGGGCAGACCTGTTTTGAAGGCTAAGTTGCTTCCAAATGCTTAAAAATTAATCTAAATTGGAATTTGTGGAAGGAAATATGAATAAAGATGAACAAAGATGAACGAATCTAGGCTAAGGCTATGAACTAATCTGGAAAATCTGGAAAATCTGGAAACTATTGCTGAAATCTGGAAAATGCAGTCTGAAAGCTGAAGAACATGCTCTGGGCAGTCTGTGTGTGTGTTGGCAGGCGTTGAACTGTTCTTTTCTCTCTGTTTTTGTTCCCTTCGATGCTAGTAACCTTTTCCATGATCTTCTCCATGATCTTCGGTACTGTTCCTCCATTTTCGGCACTGTTCCTCCATGATCTGGTAATAGGATTGCAAGTCTGGCAGTTATTTAATAGTTATCTGATCTTTATTTAACTTTATCTCCAACAACCTTAAAGATAACTACTTAAAAATCCTCAATTTTCCATTTTAAATCAAATTCAAACTACTAGATCCAATCTTATCTTTCTGCCACCTAAGATCCAACCCCATTGAAAATACGTCTGGGCCATTAAATTGTAAGCCAGCCCAGCCCAAATCCAGCCCATTGATTTTCTTGATGATTGTGCTTTACCTTGACACGTGGCCTTACCCTATTGGTTTATTTTAGGTGTAAACAATTACTAAAAAAATAAGGTTAAATGCTAAATTTCGTCCCTCAACTTTATGAAATGCACATTTTTGGTCCCTTGACAATTTTTTGCATTTTTTTGATCCCTTGACACTAAAACTTGCACAGTTTTGGTTCTTCCGTCAGTTAAGTATGATGTGACAATTAAATAATTTCATGTGGTATTGTTTTTTAATTTTTTTTGATGATGTGGCAATAATATGTATTATAATTATATTATATAAATAAATAAAAATGCCACATAAATTAATATACATATTTTAATTAAAAACATATAAAATTACCTTACTACCCTCACCCTCACCCTCACCCTCACCCTCCCAATCCCTCTTCTTCCCCTTCTTTCTTTCTCTTTCTTTCTTTCTTTACTGCCCTGGGATAGGCTGAGTTCGGTGGAAACCCAGCCTTGCTAGGTTCGTCGACCAACCAAGGCTGGGTTCGGTGGAAACCCAGCCTTGTTGGGTTCGTCGACCAGCCAAGGCTGGGTTTCAACCGAACCTAGCTTTGCTGGGAAAGCTGGGTTCTTGTTTTTTCATTCTTCTTTCGATTTTCATTTCCAGTTGCAAATAAATTTGGAGATTGATTTATAATTTGATTGCATTTTTATTGAAATTTGATTAAAGTTTGATTGTATTTTTGTTGAAATTCGATTAGAGTTTGATTGTATTGTTTATTGAAGGGTTATTTTGATTTGATAAGATCTGCCAGGTTTGAGGTTTCAATGAAACCTAGTAGCTCAAGTTTCCCCAGAAAAGAGAAGAAGAAGAAATGGGTGGGTTAAGATCAGTTTTGTAGATGGAGTGGAGATGAGAGAGCATTCACGGAAGAAGAAGAAATGGGTTAAGATCGATTTTGCAGAGGGTGATGATGAGAGACCAGTTTGCAGGCAACTGGGATCCATTGGAGGGGTTTGGCGTGAAGAAGATGACATGTCATAAAAAAAAAGTCCAGATAAGCATCTTTTTAAGTTGTGCTTGCCATGTCATAAAAAAAAAATAAAAAATGCCGTGTGGTCGAGTTAACGGCCCAAATTGACAGAAGGATTAACAGAGTGCATTTTGTATAGTTGAGGGATCAAAAAAGTGCAAAAAATTGTTGAGGGACCAAAAATGTGCAACTCACTAAAGTGAGAGACCAAATTTAGCATTTAACCTTACTAATTATATATCCATTAACGTTTGGGAGGCAGAAGCTACTTTGTCACTAGAAGAAGCTATTGTTAGCTCATAATTACTGTTAAAAAACCACTTTTACCATTGTAGAATCACTTTATGAAAATCTATTTCACTTTAAATATAATTCAGGTCAGACTTAAGTAATTCATAAGCAGCTTAACTTATTTTAAAATTTTCAAACAATATTATAGTTTCAATGAGCCTTAAAATTTTCAACAACAACTAAGGGCCCTTATAGTAATATTGTTGTATTATATTGCCAAATTTTGAATAATAAAAATTGAGGTCTTAAAGTTAAAAATTAAATTTAAAAAATTAAAGTCAATAACTTGCTGAGTACAAGTTTTCAAAATTAATAACAAAATTAATTTTTTTTTAAAAAATTTAATTCAATTTTCTTTAAAATTTTGACAACCAAATAAAATGAAAAATCAACAATGACAACATTACTAAAAGAGGCAATAAATTAATGCCGTGTAGTTTTGGAATTTGCTATGTAATTAATATTTTTTAGTGTAGCTAGGGTAGGATTTTGATTACCTCTATGTGGGAAGGTGAAAGGAATAAGAGGCAGCACATGCAAAGAAAGGGATTGGCCCGATTACACCCACTAGTAGAAACCAGACCCCCACCCTCGCCCGCCCTGCTTATTTAAGAATCGGCTTGCCTTAATCTTCTCCATAGCAGCCATGGCCGAGAAGGTTTGTGCTAAAAATTTATACTACTCTACTCTCCATTTTTTTCTTTCCTTTCTTTCCTTCTCTTATGGGGCTGTTATACCTATCTCTGTTGATGAAAAGGATATATAGTTATGAATTTTGATTTGATGCCGTTGACGACCACTTAAGATTTTTTCAAAAATAATGAAAAATCATTAAGTGTAAAAATATAAAAGAAAAGGGAGTCGCCACTCATTCAAATTATAAAGTGAGACAAGTCACCTAAAACGGATTTGCGCAGAAATCGGGGTTCGGGGGTTCAGTTAGAAGTGAGGAAGGGCATACGCAGTTCGGGGGTTCAGTTAGAAGTGAGGAAGAGCATACGCGCACCTCACAAATCTTCCGTTTAAACACAGTTGCATACTTTGAAATTGGGGTTTGATTCAACTTATTCATTATGTTTGTATTTAAGTCTTAATAAGCAAGCTTGAAAAAAGGGTAAACCAAATTGAAACATTTTTTTTTTTTTTAATTTTTGAGCTAAAATGGACAAAATCAAAGACAAGCATGCATCATAAGCACAAATAAAATTAAAGGGACGAATTTGATTAAATTCAAAAACATGGAGGACTGATTTAAAAAGATTTGGAAGTTTGGGACTGAATTACTTAATCATAAGACTTGTGGGTGAAATTGAGATAAAATAAAAGATACTTTGACTTTGACCAAGATTAAAGTTAATTGAAAATTAAAATTAATTAATCCAGATAATTAATCTAATTAGATAATAAACTTAACATTAATCAAAATTAATTAAAATTAATTAATCATATTTACTAATCAAATATAACTAAATAAATCTAATCATCTCAAATCAAACTCAATAAATATAATTAATTTATTTTAATTAAAATTAAT